CTTTCACAAAGAACATTTTTGGTATTATTAAACAAACTTATAGAATATAATAAAGAGTCTTTTTAGTAAAGAAATAAAAGTGGAAAAGTTTTGCGTATACAAAATTGGAAAATGAGATTGACAAGACTTCTTTCTATAAATAGATTTTAGGTCAAATTAATATTGATAAACCAAAGTAGTCCTGCTGTCTTATTTTAGTAAGAATATAACAATCTATACTAATATTATAAATGCGAAAGTAACTCTGTCTGTCTGTTTGTCTTGCTTTCACGCCTAAACACTGAACCGATTTTTGATGAAATTTGGCATAGAGATAGTTTGAGTCCCGGGAAAGGACATAGGATTAGTGTCCGACCGAAACAAGTTTTACGACCGAAACCGAAACCGAAAACGAATTTCGGCAACGGTGTCTATTTCGGCCGAAACCGAAACCGAAACCGAAACTTCCTTACAAGGCTCATATTTTGAGGGAAAAATAAAGAAAACGTTATTATAATCAGTCAGTCTTTATTGTTTTCTCTTTATATTGCGTTAAAATTGAACTTATAAAGTGCCTTTTTACTCTAAAAGGTATCAAATTATGTATTAAAAAAGAAAAGGAAGGATTTATAGTCTAGATTTTTTTTAATTACTCGCAATATTCAGGACATCTACATAACCCGTCCCATGGTCAAGTCTTTTACCTTAATAATTTCTCAAAATAAGATTGGTAGTACGTAAGTTAGTATCTACTGTACTTGCCACTGGATACTTTGGTGATAAATACTAAAATGAACTTTGAAACTCTGAATCCATAATATTATCACCATGAAATGCACTATAGTCATTACTAACTACTTAACTAAATTGTTTGTTTACGTATAGCATTTGCGAACCAAAAAAAAATTATAGGTTAGATTAAACTTGATTATACTTTTATCAGTCATATTTTTTTTTATGTTTACCTACACCCGCTCTTATGTTAATAACGACATAAAACGATATAAAACTTACCAAATTCAAAATAAATCACTCGAAAACTCGCCACAACAACAAAACAAAACTAACAGCAAACAAACAAGCGAGCGAATCACGACATTGGCTCTGATCGGATTCATTCACTAATTCAACGCGCCGAACATGACCGATAACAGCGCGGAAACTCCCGAATGCACATTCGGTTTCGGTCGTAGTTTCGGCAAGTTTGCCGCCGAAAACGAAACTAAACCGAAACTCGTGTTTTTACCGAAACTCAACCGAAAACGAAACCGAAACCGAACATCCGGTCGGACACTACATAGGATAGTTTTTATCCCGGTTTTTGAAACAGGGACGCGCGCGTTAAAGTTTTTCTGTGACAGACAAAATTCCACGCGGGCGAAGCCGCGGGCGGATAGCTAGTAAGTTTGATATGCCAAAGCATATCAAAGAAAAAGGATCTTTCACGCGTCAACACAAATGTAATACATACATTTATGAGTGCACAATAACATCACAATTTCGAATTTCACGCGATACATTTGGAAGTATTTGACACGTTAATAAATAATTATAATAAGTAGGTATTTATGATAAAATAACAACATGCCCTTCAGACATTTCATAACTAATAGTAATAAGTAATAATACTAACGCCCGTATTCACAAACATTACTATGACGTCTCACAGTGCGCGTGGACGCACAGGGTAACACACGAACCAATGACAGAGCTCTTTCAACGCTTCGATTTGCTGCTTCACTTAAGCAAGCATCGTTTGTGAACAGACGTAAATCAATGGCACGTCTTAAATATAATACAGGGTGGAATATTTCATATCAAAAATAAAGGAATGTTTTCTTTGAGTTAAATTTTCTATCTACAGTTTCAAGAGTACTTTCCCTTCAGGTGGCATTTCAAAATTCCACCATGTATACCTACCTTTAAAATTAGTCTATAATTCGTTCCAGTACTACCGATTGTGTGAAGCAGTTTCATTCACGATCTGTTATTCGTGTTTCATCCCTTGCTATACAAATAAAGATTAGAGATAATAAAAGTGACCCGTGTCTTACTTTCACGTGACCATTGAATCGAGGACCGGTCAGTCGTTATCTGGTCAAAAAACCTTTGCTGATTCAAAAAAACATTAAAAGACTTGTTGATATCGGTATCAGATTAAAACCTTTTGTAGGTATCCAGTTGGTATTCACCCTAAGACACTCAGTGACCGTCTGTTGAAACTTGATTCATGGGAAAGTTCGGTGCTCAAGTTCGATCTCAAAGCCGGCTTTCTTGCAAACTAGCAGGGATGTTATGGATATCCGTAACCGTAACCGAAACTTTCGGATATCCGAAATAAAAAAATATCCGAAACCGTAACCGATTAAAAAGTTTCGGATAGTTTCGGATGTAGGCAGTTTAAATTGTTTTTTGTATATATTATATGTAAAGGCATAACAGCCTGATTTACCTTTATAATGCCATCTAGTATCAATTTTTATTTTTTTATTACTTTTTATACGATGTAAAGTGTGCGGTTATGAATGAACCGTGTTGGACAACTATTGCAAATTGCATTCTAAAGCACAGATATACGGATATCTGTAACCGTAACCGAAACCGATATAATATTATTCCTATATCCGTAACCGTATCCATAACCGAAACTACATAAATATCCATTACTATATCCCTAAAAACTAGTTAGGTCTCTGTGGGAAGAAAAACCCGATCTTAATAATGAATCCACTCTCCCTTCGGTTGTAAAGGTGCAAGGTGCAAGGTGCGGGTGCCAATTTCGCATCTCTGCGATTTTCGAAATTCGCACACGATACTGTCAGATGTGAACTTGCGAACACTTTATTCAAGTGCGTTTTAAAATGTGATATTGAATGGACTTTTAATGTGTATTCTTGCTTTTGTCTCCTCAACAAAGTGATGATAATTTCGACATTAACTGTTATAGGATTTCATGAAATATTTTTTACCCATTTAGTTTTAAGTAAGTAAGTTACTATAATGTTTTATGTAATAAGTAGACTGGTAATACCATTAGCTACTAATTACATAATAATTTTAATTGGTATTGATTGTTCATAGCCGGATGAACGTGACTTTTAAAAAACAAATTACGAGCATTTACTCTGCATCGGTCTTTATGACGATTTTAACCTCTTATCATAAACTAGTTTCTTTGTAACTTCACATTAACAAACTTATAAAGAGCGCAGAGATTAGTTCCATCGCGCTATCGATCAAAGTTATCATAATTAACTTTTTTTAAAAAATATAACCGACTTCAAATGCGTGACACTAAAAAAAAACTAAAAATTAAAAAAAATGATAATACCTATTCAACAAAAAAATAATCGTTCAAATTGGTTCATAATCGGAGGAGATATTGCGTATAAAAAAGTTCATCCCCAATTTTGCACCCTTGGGGGTGAAATATTTTCTTCAAATTCGCATGAAACCATCCTTTTGATAATACCTATTCAATAAAAAAATTATCGTTCAAATTGGTTTATAATCGGCGGAGATTTTTTTTTTTTTTTTATCCACAACGAGGAAGCTCTTGGCCTGTATCTCACCTGATGGTAAGTGACGATCAGGCCGAAGGTGGAAGCGAGCTTCACCCGGAATCCTCAACCACGGAGGAACTGGCTATCTTACCTCTAACTGCCGGACGGAACACAACAATGCTGTTAACATTGTTGTTATGGCGACAGACTTAGGTAAGATGGTGGTAGCTAGCCAGGCGGACTTAGAACAAGCCCTACCACCAACCAAACCGAACAGAAAAATCTGGCCCCACTGGGAATCGAACCCGGGACCTCTGCGTCTGAAGCAGGTGGTCTAACCACTAGACCACAGAGGCGGTTATATATTAGATATTGCGTATAAAAAAGTTCATCCCAAATTTTCCACCCTTGGGGGTTGTTTTTTTATTATTAAATTTAAATGGGACCACCCTTGAGGTATTACCTATACGCCGAAAAAAAAATTGTTCAAATCGGTTCATAATTGACGGAGTTATCGCGTAACAAACATAGAAAAAAAAAACATACGGGTCGAATTGAGAACCTCCTCCTTTTTTAAACTGTTGCCTTGAAAAATCTGGAAAAATTCATGATATTAGTGCTTTTTATGAACTTTCAAGAAAAACTATAGCGGTTAAGATAGATCAGTTAGTTTAAGAGTAATAGTCGTTTTACTCATGTATTATAAAATTTCTTAACCAGCAAAAATTCCTAAGAAGAATGCTTGCTTGCTTCTTAAATATAAAAATTCCTAAGAAGAAAATGCTTGCTTGCTTCTTAAATATATTGTCGTAACGAAGACAACTACGGAACCCTACACTGCGCGTGGCACGACACGCACTTGGCCAATTTTTTGTGACGTAATATCAGCCTGATTCAGCCGTCAACTTGGTAGATGAGACCCCGAAAGCTGGGATTGTGTGCAGTCATGTGTTTATGATATTATTACCGTGCATGTGTTCCGCAGTTACGTCATAACTCGTGATTTGCTTTTGAGCTGGTGAAGTGGTTACAAACGTTTTCGAATACTTTTTCCATGGAGGCAATTAACAGCTAATTTAAAGGCGTGACGTTAATATTTCTGTCTTAAGGCTTTCATATTGTGAATTTGTCAGTTAGAGAATACTTACAAATCCTTGAGAATTTCTCGTGATGTCGCGAACATTATCTCAAGGCTGAAAAAGGGCTAATCTATACTAATATTATAAATGCGAAAGAAACTCTGTCTGTCGGTCTGTCTGTCCGTCTGTCTGTCTCTTTTTCACGCCTAAACCACTGAACCGATTTAGCATAGAGATAGTTTGAGTCCCGGGAAAGGACATAGGGTAGTTTTTATTCCGGTTTTTGAAACAGGGACGCGCGCGATAAAGTTTTTCTGAGACAGACAAAATTCCACGCGGGCGAAGCCGCGGGCGGAAAGCTAGTTAGCTATAAAGGAGACGTAACACTCCTTCATTGCCTTGGAAAATGAATGCCTGTAATGGAGAATAAGACACTTACCTTCTCAGTCACAGTGGAGGCCATCTCTGACACTTTCTGAGTGGCGATCTCTCCGTAGCGCACTGCGTTCTCGGTGGCCGACTTAGCCACCTTGGTGACGGATGAAGTGAAAATGGACCAGCCCTGGAAAAAAGGGTTAAAGTTTGAATTATTTGGCTTCAATAACTATTGGGTTTATTCCAAAAAGTTAAGCCATGTTTCATTCATTAGGCAATATTGCTTGATAAACTGTTTATGACTAGTGTGAAACAAGTTTACCATAGATACAGGTTTCTGAAACTTGGCCGTCCACACTTGCTCTCCACTCATTGCGGGGAGCACGGCAACATGTATATAAACAATGTTTCATCACCTATGTTTATGAACTGTTTACAGAGATGATGAAACATTGTTTATGAACAGTTTAAAAACAGTGTTTATCAACAAATGTTGCCTAATGAATACATGGCTTTAAACACCCGATGAACACTTGTTTACATTGTCATTAAATGTGGCATTGTAAACCAATGTTTAACGTGTGATTAACTTTTTTTGTAATAAGGGCCTTTATGATCTTTAAAGAACTTAAAAAAGGAGGTTCTCAATTACGTTGTATTTTTTTAACAAGGTCTACTAAAATGCAAGAAATAAACGGAGTTGAACAAAATAAAAAACGTAGTAAACGAAGTCAAATAAGATAAGATCAAAACCCTGTATGATTTATTTAAAACACTTTTCTAAATCTAGAAATAAGTTCTAGGTAAAGACAACCATTTTTCCTTTGCACAATGTCATTACGATCGTCTAGGGGTAATATCGGAAATCGAATGGGAAGTGTGTCGCCGCTCAGTCGACCTGAAAGACAGTCGGATGTTGTCGCTCGTCATTGCACCTTGCCTGCGTGTAAGCCTCAATACCATGTTATTGCAGCGTATATTGATAATTAACTTTAAAAAAAAATAAAACCGACTTCAAATGCGTGAACACAAAAAAAAACTAAAAATTAAAAATATTGCGTACAAAAAAGTTCATCCCCAATTTTCCACCCTTGGGGGTGAAACATTTTCTTCAAATTCGCATGAAACCACCCTTTTGATAATACCTATTCAACAAAAAAATAATCGTTCAAATTGATTTATAATCGGCGGAGATATTGCGTATAAAAAAGTTCATCCCCAATTTTCCACCCTTGGGGGTTGTTTTTTCTATTATTAAATTTAAATGGGACCACCCTTGAGGTATTACCTATACGCCGAAAAAAGATTTGTTCAAATCGGTTCATAATTGGCGGAGTTATCGCGTAACAAACATAGAAAAAAAAACATACGGGTCGAATTGAGAACCTCCTCCTTTTTTGAAGTCGGTTGAAAATAGAGTAAAATTCTCCGTGCAAGTTTTCATAACCCGATATTGCATTGTTGCTGCGTCTCCTTGAACTCTCAGACCTTTTCTATGACAATATTGCTTGTTATGTGATATGACAAAATTCAGCTCGGAGATTAAAGTGGATTTTAAAATTGCAATGACTTGTAGTGTTTCCATATATTCCTTGCCTCTTCAGCTAAGCTTAGATGTTTAATTAGCAAAAATTTAATCACAAATGTTAAAAAATGTTTTAATGTTAGAAAATGTTTAGTATCGTTAGTTAACAAATTATAACAAAATTAAACATGTGTCTGTGGCACTATATTTTCCTCTAGCTTTAAGCGTTTGGCGCATCCAATAAGAGCGCTTTTTCTTCTTTTTTAAACAAAAAATGAAAGCTATTCCAATGAGCAAATCCTCTTCCATTTTCGTGTAGACGCCCTCAGAACGCTAACCAAACTGCGAGCCAACACCAGATTTAAATGTTATAAAATGTTAGTAAACATTTTCTATTAGTGTAGGAGCACTTATAACATGTAACAGTTCCTAACAAAACGTAACAATTGACAACATTTGTTGGTAAATGTTTTTATGTTAGAAAATGTTTACAAACATACAAACAGCAATGTGGGAGCACCATTACACAAACGTAGTTGGCTAAATATACTTAGGTTTACTCGAGTTAGGATTCGGTTCACCACAATATTCCAGCGGTCGCCGGGGTTCAAACTAACCGCTTGAATTGGCAATCTGTCAACTACACCGGTACCCTGTTATCGACTCGACTCCAACATTATTAGACCTGGTAAGGTTGTATGAAGTTTTACCTGACTACGCCAGTAAGAGGGTTATGTTTTTAAAATACATGTGTATTTCTGAGACTGGACTGGTGAAGTTTGCTTAGCCACATTTGGCCAATCTTAGTGTGTAGAGCAAGATATATCTAAAGTGTAAACGGAGCTATTTACATTTCCTGTGTAACCAACACCTAAGGGCTATATGTCACCGGGACACAATGGCGGCGCAACCAGTCGCCGCTACCAACTAAATGTATGACATATGTCAACGTAAAATTGTGAACTCTGTCAGTTTATAATATAACGCGTTAGATTGTAAACTAACAGTGGGTTAGGTTAGGTTAGATTGTAATTTAACTACGTCAGATTATAATCTGACGGAATTCACAATATTACGGTGACATATACAGCTTTGCGCAACCAAACGGACACCAGGTGAGTAACTCTCTATAGAGCTGCATACATTTTGTTGGTAGCCGGCGACTGGTTGCGCCGCCATGGTGTCCCGGTGAAATATAGCCCTAAAGCTCACCAATAAAATCCGTAACGGAGGCTAACTTTCTCCAAGTCAAACTCGTGGACCCACGAGGAAATGAATCCGAAGAAAACAGAAGGAGTTCGAAGCTAAAGTTCGAGTTTCCTCCGGTGCAAAGCGGGTGACAGGTGACAAACAAAGGCAAAAATAAACCATAGGAAGATTTATCTCTATCTGAAGTTAAAGCAAAAACGGGAACTTCAATGTCAATTTTAATAAGTAATCAAGCTTTGGCGCTAAGAGTCCCCGCAGTTTACAGACTTTTTTGCCCGTTTTCACCATAAATCCCTAATTTTTAAGTGACTCCTATGGTATTTTTAACAGGAATTTGATTTTCATAGGGGTCACTTAAAAATTAGAGATCGATGTTGCAGTTTGGTCGGACTTTTAATTAGTGAATATGTATGAAAGCGCGCACATATGCGATGTAACACCGATTTGGCATCGGCCGATTCCTCACACAAATTCGAAGCCGACTAAACTATCTATACTAATATAATAAAGCTGAAGAGATTGTTTGTTTACTTGAACGCGCTAATCTCCGGAAGTACTGGTCCAATTTGAAAAATTATTTTAGTGTTAGATAGCTCATTTATCGAGGAAGGCTATAGGCTATACAACATCACGCTACGATCAATAGGAAGAGAGCAACAATAAAAAATGTTGCGAAAACGGACTTTCACGCGTACAAAGTCGCGGGCACAACTAGTCGTGCGATAAAAGTCTGCAGTCTGCGGGGAATCTAACTCGTTCAGAACAAAGCCCGAAAGTTTTCCACGCCCTCGCTTAGCTTCCATTAAGCGAAAACCTTTCATTGGCTATTCCTATTTATATTTACTGCCAATAAAGTAGTCAGCCACATCAAAAGCTGAGTAATAACGGCTTACATTTGCGCGGCTTCAAGTAAGGATGTGTTGGAACCAGCTTTGGATCAAATCTTGGCCGAATACATCTCCGTTCTTTATAAAGTCTTAACTTGTTTGTCATAAAAATAAGACTTCAAACTTTAGGGAAATGTTCGATTTGTTTGGCTAACTAAAAATAGACTTGATATTACTTAGTGAGCTGCCACACTAGCGGATTGTAAGCGTTTTCTAATGCGCTGAAACTAATTTTTGTTGTACACATAATATTATACGTAAACATTTGTCATTAAGCAGTTCCTTCATATCAATAATAGAGAGAGATCATCGCACATTAAATTGTTGGATGAAATGTTCCAATAATAACCTAACGTCTTCCAAGATTGGTGTGTTGGCTAGCACATATTGGCGTGGACACCACACTGTGTATCGTGACGATAAGGTCATGCCACTCTCATCGATTCGCGTTGAGCGAGCTCAATTATTTAATACTCTTGAGCCCGTTACATGACTGTAATTCCTCTCAGCGTTTTCATAATATAGCCTGACCAGGAACATAAAAACCCTCGCCATGTTGCGGAAAACTAATGGTACTAATTTCTTTTAATGGCAACAGTAACTGAAAACTTCATTGACATGTCACCTTGCATGTCAGTCTATTGTTGTCAAAGTGTAAACAAACTTTATTTTAAATGTGTGCAATTGATTTTGTGAATTAAATTGCTAAAATATTTTTATAGTCGTGAAAGAAAAGTGGTTCACAATGTGTTAATGTATTTGTCGAAGAGAAATACTAACGGTTCGGACAATATTTTCATTGAATAATGTTTCCGCAAAGGTTGTCAAATTGACTGACATGTATAATCGTATAGTACAGTCCACTATGAAAATTAGCTGTAGTCTGTTTCAACTACCTATTTTAAAGTTTTTTGTCACTTTCTAAGTTTTGAATTTTATGGAATTGGGAAAGAAGTACCGAGTTTGAAGCGTTCATGAGCAGACATTGCAGTTGAATATTCAAGTTCTGAATTTGATTATTGATGAATAATAAAATAAATCCTACTAGCTCGATTGATGGTTTCATTTAATTTATTTAAACCAGGTTACCTTTAATAATATTTTTTCGGTAATTTATGAAAATATCAAATTAGCCCGTAATCCTGAATCCTGATACATAAATTTAGCCTATTAATTTAACACATGTACGACTGTACTCAGTGTTGCACTATCAAATGCAATTGAGGCGCCTCTATGCCAGGGTTTTTATGTTCCTGGTCAGGCTATAAATGAATAGCATTCAGTATCGACCTGCACAAATGCACATCGTCCATAGAAGCGAACGAATTTAGATTCTTTATTCAATTGCCTTTTATAATGGCAGGATCGTGGGCAATCGTGGGTAATTAAAAAAGTATTACCTACGGTTAATGAAATAATTGGATTTGATTTTGTCTTCATTTCCTTTTCTTGAAAATGGCTCGGAAAGAGTTAGTACCAGTCATAGGACACCTAAGCAAACTTTGCTTTAGCCAGGGCATATTTCCTCGTGCTCTAAAACGTTCTGTAATTCATCCTATATATAAGAGTGGGGACAGAGACAACGTAAGCAACTATAGACCAATTTCT